CTCCACAAACAACAAAACTGTAGCTCTGTAACTAAATAATTTAGTAAAACACACCTAAAAATACTCTTGGTGATATATCGATACAGCAGCCCACGATATCGATACAGTATCATCACATTAAACGATACGATATATATCGATATTCCGATATTTTTGCACACCCCTAGTACAGACCACACAAGCAGGCAAAAGTTCTTTATTGATGTTCTTTATTGTAATCACTTTCTACATTTTAGATACACATGGAAGTCTACAAATATATGAAGCAAGATACAGTATATGGAGTTATGTAGCAATGTATATCCTCCGTGATCTTCATGATGAACTCTCCTGAAATGGTTTTCACTTCACTGCCTTGTCAGGGTCAAGAAATGTCAACAGTGCAAAACAGTGCTCAAAGAAAAGAGGGGCAAAGTATTTATTTTAAGTTCATTTTTTGTTTACAAAAATGTGGACAAAATGTTGTTGATACAGTTAATATTGTGGCCTACTTAAGGTTGGAAATCATCACAACAGTAGTAGTAGTAGTACTAGTAGTAGTAGTGGTATAGTAGTGGTAGTAGCAGGAGTAGTAATAGCAGTAGTAGTAGTAGTAGTAGTAGTAATAGTTGTAGTAGTAGTAGTAGCAGTAATAGTAGTAGCAGTAGTATTAGTAATAGTAGTAGTAGTAGTAGTAGTAGCAGTAACAGTAGTAGTAGTAGTCGTAGTTGTAGTAGTAGTAGCAGTAGTAGTAGTAGTAGTAGTAGTAGTAGCAGTAACAGTTGTTGTAGTAGTACTAGTAGTAGTAGTAGTAGTAGTAGTAGTAGTAGTAGTAGTAGTAGTAGTAGTAGTAGTAGTAGTAGTAGTAGTAGTAGTTGTAGTAGTAGTAGCAGTAGTAGTAGCAGTAGTAGTAGTAGTAGTAGTAGTAGCAGTAACAGTTGTTGTAGTAGTACTAGTAGTAGTAGTAGTAGTAGTAGTAGTAGTAGTAGTAGTAGTAGCAGTAGTAGTAGTAGTAGTAGTTGTAGCAGTAGCAGTAGCAGTAGTAGTAGTAGCAGTAGCAGTAGCAGTAGCAGTAGCAGTAGTAGTAGTAGTAGTAGTAGTTGTAGTAGTAGTAGCAGTAGCAGTAGCAGTAGCAGTAGTAGCAGTAGCAGTAGCAGTAGTAGTAGTAGTAGTAGTAGCAGTAGCAGTAGCAGTAGTAGTAGTAGTAGTAGCAGTAGCAGTAGCAGTAGCAGTAGCAGTAGTAGCAGTAGCAGTAGCAGTAGCAGTAGTAGCAGTGGCAGTAGCAGTAGTAGCAGTAGTAGTAGTAGTAGTAGTAGCAGTAGCAGTAGTAGCAGTAGCAGTAGCAGTAGCAGTAGTAGTAGTAGTAGCAGTAGCAGTAGTAGTAGTAGTAGTAAAAACATCAGAACATTGTAGACTGTGTGTGTAAATGTGTGTACAACAGGTGAGATTGTGATTTGTTGGTTTCTGGTTCATGTCTGTGTCATCATTGGATCTGTCCACATGAATTAATTAAAGTGTCTCAAAGAGTACAGTTTTCTCTGTCGACTTAAATAAACAAACGTGACATTATGTTTTTGGGAAAGTGCTGTCATCATTCACCTCCAGGTACGTAACTGCAGCCATAAACTGAATATAGCACGTTTGTGGACCCGGTCCCAAACAAATACTGATAAGCTTCATCATAAATGTCTTTCCAAAGCACTGGAGTTTTACAGCCTCCTGCCCCCACACTGTATTTAGAAGATGAATCCAGCCTGTTCACTTGGTCTCTGAGATGGAACACAACATATGTTTTATTCAACAGAGACGTGGACACAGCCGCTCTGACCTCAACATCACTGAGAATTATTTATGGGGGCAATTGCAGATTTGAGGTGGGGGAAGTGTCTTGCCCAACAGCACCAGTAGGTCTAGTATGAGCTGGAGCAGGGGTCTGTATTTGACCCATCCATGCCACAGCCTGAACCAATAAATGTGCCACCACAGACTCTATGATGCATGTTTTGCCAATGTAGCCATACAGTCAAATGTTTGAAGTCAAAGAGGACACCCAGAGTACAGCAGGCCAACTCAGACACAGGGAGAACATGCAAAACAGAGCCCCACCTTCTACCACACACTGACCTTATACAATTGTGCATTACCTTTGCTAATTATCTTGCATAGGGTGACCGGATTTTCAAAATAAAAACTGGGACATATCTGCTTTGTGGTGGTTGGTAATAGGGTTCGATCAAGTGGTAACGGAGGGAAACAGGGGCAGATTTTTGACATTCAAATGTCTCTTATTCAGAAACTAGAGGAACTATTGAAATAAGTAACGTATCAGAATGTAGGAAAGAGTTACACTCCAACAGGGTCAAGTTAAACCTGTGATATTCTTTCAAGTTGTTGACAAAAAATGAAAAAACTCATGTCGGTAACAGAGGGAATGAAATATGCAGCACTTTTGGGCAATAAATCCAAACAGTGATAACTCTTGGTTCTCACTTCCATATCCTTAACAAACTGGTTTGAATATTTGCTTCATATAGTTTTCTACCATATGGTTCAAGATTAGGTTGAAAAACCTCTTACTTTTTGACTCATGAGATTTGTTATTAAGAAAGGTCATGGTAACGGAGGGAAAAGTAACAGAGGGAAAATTGTTCAAGCAAGTAGAAGGTGCATGATTTTACATCATTTGTCGCTTTTTTCTTCCGAATACTTTAATATTACTTCAAATTGAAAGGAAACTATTTCTATAAAATATGTCAGTCCTTCCAAGCAAATTTTTTATCATTTTAAATACATATTTTTTGAAAAATCATGTCCCTTCATCAACAGTTCAAAGATGGAATGACACAAGATATGATGAAATACATCCATTTATTTACATGATTTGCAGGTCTTTGAAATGGTTTGTCTGTTTTAAAAACATATGGAACTTTAGAACCAAAAATGATACAGAAAAAAGGTCAACAGTTTCATAAACTAGAGTACATATGTATCTGTTCAATACATTTTTATATCAGATGCATTAACTTGAATTTTTGGCCTTGATGTTTACTTCTGCTCGACCGGGCCCAATAATAAAACTGTAAAACAAGTGAGTAATTAGATAAAGTTGCACAGCACTCGGCACTAATGTGAGTCAGAATTGTCACATTTTCTTTGTGTTTTGATTATTTTTAAGCAGCTTTTCTGTATTTGACCTAAACAAATGACTCTCTTTACTGTTGGCAGGGATCAGATTGGTCCAAAATAGAGACACCTGGGACATTTCTTGTATAAAACTGAGACAAATCACTGCTTTTGTATAAATGTGCTGGGACAGGGGACACAGGCTCAAAAGTGGGAGTATCCCGGGTAAATAAGGACGTCTGGTCACCCTAAACATCCACCATGTTCTTCAACTAGGACACAAAACAATACAATGATCCCTTTGATTATTATGTATATACGCTTATCATTTATAGTGAATTTTATTTTGCTGGCACTTGTTTTTGCATTTCGTCGTAGTTTTTTTTTTTTTTTGACAAGCTCTTTTTATTTTATAATATTTGCCTACTTTAGCCTACTTCACAGCTCAAGACGTCTTTTTGGAGTTCATATCCTCATCATAGTAGGTAAATATAAGTTGAGAGAATTTATAAAATCATATTGTGTGGAATATTGTCGCACAATGCTGCCACCTGGAGGCCGGGGCAAAAGATTTTGTGTCTGTGGATTGTAATGCACAATTGTAACAATGTCTGTTTTAAAGGGTCATTTGACTTTAAAGTGAATGGCCCAGATGCTTTGTGAACATGTCTGGATGTGTTTATCTTTATTACGCTTCAAGTTTTCCCTCCATTTTAAAGTAAAGTGATTTTTTCTTATTTTTTTAAATTACACACGACTGTATGTGAATGTGTCTGGATGAGGAAACATAAACACAACATTTTATATAATAACACCAATAATAAAACAACATACACAGTACATTTGCATAGTTAAGAAAGAAAAAGATGATAGTGAGGGGAGTAGAGTTCATTCAGCTTGAGTCCACACACAGTCTGTAGGAATACACTTTTTGAGCTTTACGTCCATTCATATAATTCACAAATTTTATGTACAATTTGAGATCAAGTAAAGTTAGGGGGACACATCTGAAGTTTACATTTGTGGATGTAAAATCTGACAAGACATAATATTACATTTACACAGTTCTTCTAAAATCTCTATTTAACACGACTGGTAAGGAAGGAAAAATCTGGACTGTATCTAGTGTTACATTTCAGACCAAAAGGGTTGGACTGTAGCACAATTTTTTATTTTATTTTTTTTAAATGATCGGTGCTTTCAATCTCCTTTTCACAAAAAGTGCATATGTTTTCTTAATTTTCTTGAATTTTAAAGTGCAGTTGAAGTTATTCTTTGATGGATATATGTTATTTATCAATTTGTAACGTGTTTCTTTTACTTCAGGAGCGACAGGAAAGACCAAGTACATTGTTTTTAGTTTTGTTATTGCTTCTTTATCAAATGTATTATGTGTATCATTTTTATTTTGCAAACCAGTGAAGATTTTTTCTTTTATACATTTTGTAATGAAATAATCATTACATTTCTGTCTGTGTATAGACACTTGTTCTGATGAGGAGGGGGTATGTGGGTGTATAGTTTGGTTTGCCAAAATGTTCCTTGAAAGAAAAACAAACTCTTTAGTGAGTCCTTTACGTAAACGAATGAAGTCCAGATATGAAAGATTAAAATCATGTTTTGCACAGAACTGATTGTAATTCAGTACATTTCCACCATCATCCATTAAGTTAAATGTTTTATATAACAACTATTTCTTTCGAAACAACTCCGTACAGCTGTTGTTACTGTTGGGGTCCTTCCGTGTAGGCGTTAGCAGTGATTGGTCAGCCCGGGGGTAGGGGCGTGTACCTGAACGCTCATTGGCTGTAAGTTTAAACTACCCTGCTGTGATTGGTGGAAGCGGCGGCCGGTGATTGGCTGGAGGCGCGTGTGTTTAGTTTGAAATGCGGCTTTATGCAGATACAGAAGAGCAGCTGCTGCGTCCGGACGCGTCTGCACAACACTTCTAACTTTTAAAAACACATCTAAACCAAGGTAAGACGACGCGTTTTTCCTACAAATGTAGATAAGATTTGCGTGACATTTTCTTTTTCATGTTAAAAGCACGCTGTTTATATGAGACTATACGCTTTCGGATCTGCAGCCAAATGGACAAATACATGCGCAACTGAGCAAAGTTTTGAAAGCTCATTTCCCTGGGACTAACACAGAAATCTACCCAATCTGTAAAAATACAGAGAGCTCATTCTGGATGTAACTTCAGAACCTCGCATTTAAGTCGCTATTGTTCAGCCGTGTCAACTAACAAAACTACTGACCAAATTTTCAAAAAAAAAACCAAAAAAAAACCAACCAAAAAAACTGGGACATCCATTTGTGAAACGAGTGCCTAAATAAGGAACATTGTTCTGCAGAGACCATTCATGACTAAAATGTGAGGCAGTATTGTCAGTTTCTTTGTGTTTTGATCATTTTTAAGCAGCTTTTCTGCATTTTACCTAAATAAATGACAGTTTATGCCTCTCCTTACTGGGCAGGGATCAGATTGGTCATAAATAGGGACATGTGGGACATTTCTTGTATAAAACTGGGACGAATCAATGGTTTTGGATAAATCTGCTCGAACAGGAGACACAGGCTCAAAACTGGGACTGTCCCGGGTAAATATGGGACGTCTGGTCACCCTAAACAAAACAAAACTGTTGGCAATGGTCTTTAAATATTTTTACAAAAGACGTCCCATTAGTCTACAGTCATAGAATAGAATAGAAAGCCTTTATTGCCACAGTGTAATGAAATTCAGAGCTGTTCCGTCAAAGTGCAAGAATTAATTAATGGATAAATAAAACAAATTAACAGTTCTCATTAAGTATGGTGACAGCTTTGGGGAAGAAGCTGTCCCTGAGTCTGTTGGTCCTCGCTGGAATTGACCTGTCATGCAGGTTTTAAGATTTTTGGATTGCATTTTTATCTTTGCATGTTAAACCAGGTCAAAAAGTAAACTAAAAAACTGTATGCTTTACTATTTAAGCATTTACTATTTTTATTTATTTGGCAATCCAGCAGAAATTTGTAAAAAAAAAAAAAAAATCTCTAGTTTTATAAAAGTCCTGTATTACACCAGATTTAGCAGAGTTATAATGTTGTTACCTCATCAAAAACATGCCCAGAGTTGTGTTGTTTGTTTCATTCACATATTTGAGTAACTGTTTGTTAGTAGTTTACATTTCCAAAGCTTAAAATGCTCTGTTCCAGTGTGTAATGTGTAAAAAAATAAAAATAAATTAAACAAAAAAAACCCCATGTGATTATGTAAAACAATTGGGGTAGGACTCCATAAGTTTTTTTTAAACTTCATCCTCCTCCTTTTGAGCACCAGGTCCCAAATATGTTCATGTACATATCACTATTCTTGTTACTGTTTTTGAATTTTGTTGTTCCCGCTCAAACAAATAAATAAATGAATGAAATGAATGATGTCACAAAGCAGTCGTTTTCAAGTTAACTGTTTTAACATTTACCTTTTTACTTCAGTAGAGATTAGCAGTTCCAGAGCTGAAATGATCCAGATGATTGTAGTGAAAGTGTGTGGAGTTTAAAATCACAGTGGAGCACTTCCTGTATTACCACATGACATCACAAAGTGTTTTCTGTTTGAGAGGAGAGCTCAGGCTAAATATGCAGGCTTTGTGTGCATGTAGGTATGTTTTTAATGAGGAAATTAAAACATACATCAGAAAATAGTGTAACATGGGCCTTTTTAAAATGTTGTTCTAAGGTTTAAGTGTGAAAAGACTTGCATTTTGCTTAATCTTTTTTGCAACGCTTTTGTATCATGAATCTCTCTTTTTCACCTTTTTCAGATTTGGCAGCCATGATGTCCGCTCAGGATGGAGCCCAGGTGCAGTGCAGCATGACGTTGGAACAGCTCAACTCCTCTGGACAGACCACACGCAGACAGGTACAAATGTAATGAGACCGCATTCGATTTTAGATTTATTTTTGGAGTATGGATTACAGAACCAGACTTCCACAGAGTTTCATTGCGGCCATGTGATTATGTACACAAGTGTAAGCCGTGACGTCACGACCGTTCACATGAATTCAGGGAAAAAAAACTTAACCAGGTTCAAGATCTAATCACAGGAGGAATCACAGACGTAGAATAGCATTTAGTTCTAATTAGGGGCACAGCGCTGACCTGAGGAAAAGATGGGCCTCTGGTGTAGGTTAGTGATTTGATTGACTTTCCTGGTTGACGCTGTTCTCCCAGAGCGACGTCAGAGCACCAGGCACCTGTGATTGCAAGAGCAGACTTTTCTAACGATCCTGCTGGTGATAGCAGCTCAGTTAGTAGAGCACTTAAACGTAGACTTACACAACTTAACTTTATTGATCCACAAGGGAAATGACTTGGACACAGTAGCTCACACATCACAATATATTATAATAACAAAAAGCAAAAAATGTAAATGGTCATACAGTAATACATTTGAAACAAGTGCAATCAGAGAAGGCAACCTGGTCCCCGTGAGGCATCAGTGGGATCAGTTCATCACCACAGAAGCAGTTTATGAGGAGTCCAGTCCATATTACATGATCATTATATCCACAATGCAATGTGTGTATGTGTACAGGCCCATGAACATTTGTGTGATGTTGGTCACACATGAGAATGTCTGTGTTTACTAGTGTGGAGCCAAAATGTCATTTTTCATGAGTTGTGTGTGTGTTCGTTGTGTGACTGTAGATCAGTGTGTTGTGTTTCACCAGAAAAACAAGAAATGGAAATTATTTTTGTTTCAATTAGAATTTTAACAGCTACACTGAAAGAGAAAGGAACTGTTGTAATTAGTGATTATCTGGAAAATTATTCATATTTGACTACACAAATGCATAGAATTATAAATAGATAATATTTTTTCTGAGATTTTGAGACACTCCTGTTGCTCGAGCTCGATCCTTTGCAGAGTTATGACCAAAAACACATATTTGACCTTGGTTACTTTGAACGGTTTCAACCTGTAACATTCAGTGTACCCCGGTTCTGTGTGTGCCAACTTGTGTGATGATTGGGTGAATATTTTAGACTGTAGATGGTTCAGAATTTGCCAAAATTGCAGATCCTTTATAATGACGTGACCGTTTAATTGACCTGTGTGACCTCAAATGACCTCGGATCATCACTAATCTTTTTTTGCGGCATCGGGCACGAGGGTTTGATCCACGTACCAAATTTGGTGACAATCGGTCCATAAATGGTGGAATTATCGCAGGTGGACAGAGACACACACACAGAGACGCACAGACACACACACACACACACACAGACACACAGGGTGAATACAAAAAACAGGTAATAAGTAGCAGAAAATAGCAAGAGACTGTCAAATAAGGCATAATTCCATAAATGTAAATGTGTAGAAGTAAAAATAAAATAATTGTGCATACATTTATAGAATTGTTTGCCCACTGATCCGAAAGTTGGCGGTTCTACTCCCGCTCTCAACATAAACATCATTGCTTGAGCGGTCAGATCCATTGACCCACAGGTTGGCGGCGCGAGTCCTGCTCCCATAGATGAATGCTGTTATTGTGTCCTTGGGCAAGACACTTAACCCACCTCTGCCTCGGTGTCTGTGTACTCTGGTGTACGAATATGTGAGTGAATGGGTGAGCGTTTTTTTGATGTAATGGGCTTTTGAGTCCTTTGAAGGTGGAAAAGCGCTTTATAAAAATGTGACCATTTACTGTTTTACCATTTACCTTATTTAAACTCTTTGTTTTTTCAAAGAGACGACAAAACCAGGACAAAAGAGAAGGCAAAAAGAACAGTAATACTATAGATTTACTGTAAATGCCAATGCTACTAAATCAATATTTGTATTCTCAGTTTAGAACTCAGCTAAATGGCAAGGTATAATATATATATATATTTTTTAAAAGCAAATTAATCTTTTAATATTTAATGCGTTTTCATAAATATGATAAACATCCTTTTAATCAGTGATCTGAACTCCTGAACTCCAGAGCATAGGCTTTTAGTGACCAGACGAGCTGTAGACTTCTCTGTTTAAGGTGGTGGTTGGAAGTTGACACCTTGGGTTTTGATTAAAGCTTGATTAATGTTAATTGCACAGCTCTGTTTTTATTACTTAAATTGCTTTATTTGGACCTCGGGGGACAGAGCCTACGCCATCGCTGCCCCAACCAGCCACAACACAACTCTCTCCCCCTTCACACCAGATGCCCTGACTCACTACAATATAAAAACACCTGTTCCACATCGCTTACAATCTCGCAAAATGGATTCTATAATGTTGTTACCTCATCAAAAACAGACCCAGAGTTGTTTTGTTTCATTCACACATGTTTGAGTAATCCACTCCAACTCCAAAACTCAAAATGCTCTGTTCGTACCTTCTTTTTTTTTTTTTTAGCTTTGTTCAGTAGAGATGGGAAATTCCAGGGCTGCAGTAAACCAAATGATGTCAGTGAAGGTGGAGTTTAAAAACGCACTTCCTGTATTACCACATCACAAAGTGGAACAGAGCGTTTTCTGTTTGAGAGAAGAACACAGCGTAAATGTGCAGGGTTTGTGTGTTAAACATGTGTGAATGAAACAAAACACAACTCAAGGTGTGAGTTTGATGAATAAACAACATCACAACACAGATCAGATAACAGCATAATATGGGCCCTTTAATATATGCTGTTATTTATAGTGTATTTTGTCCATTTTCATTTTCTTGCTTGTTTCATGTAAAGCGTCTTTGAGCTATATAACACTTGTGTATTAATACTTTAAAGGTGCACTGTGTAACTTTTTGATTAAGGGTCCGTCACCTGCCTAAGCCAAAGATGTTAATTTTGTCTTATGTAACTTTTTGGGTTCTTTTTAAAGACAATGCAGTAAAGTGTGTTTACCTTGTTGACATGTTTCGGCTGCTGCTGCATCTTCACAACTGTCATCGGTGTTGGTGGTGACGTGTTGTGGTCACCAGCTTGTCAAAGACTGATCCCATCAGATCTCAGAAGCTAAGCAAGGTCGGGCCTGGTTAGTACTTAGATGGGAGACACTGTGAAAATCAGGAGCCACAGGGGGGCGCCAGTGGGAATAACTGTCGTTGTGTCCTTAGGCAAGACACTTCAGCCACATTGCTTAGTATGAAAGTGGTGTGTGTGTGAGTGATGGTGGTGTTCAGAGGGACCGATGGCGCCGATTGGCATGGCAGCCACCCTTCTGTCAATCTGCCCCAGGGCAGCTGTGGCTACAATAGTAGTTTACCATCACCAGGTTTGGAGTGAGTGAATAATGCCGAATAATGCTCTGTAAAGCGCCTTTGTGACAAAAATGTCTGTGAAAAGTTCTATATAAATACTTACTTACTTGTATATCAGCTGGTGTTACTTCCTGTAGGTGTGGTCAGCCTGATGGACCTGCAGGTCGCTCAGACTGACCACGCCTACCGTTGCCTGGTGTTCTCTGGAGGAGACCTAAAATCCATCATATCAGAGCACTACGAAAGAAATAACCACATTATGGATTTGGATGGGGCTCGGGTCATCGGATCAGAGAACAACAAGTTCAAACGCTGGATCAGGGAGGACATCGAAATCAGGAAACAAGGTATGGACAGCATTAACCGTGATGACGGAGCGTTCCTCCATTTCACAAACCTGGGACACCCTCCTCCAGAGAACATCGGGCGACAGGTGGCGTGGTCAGTCTGAGCGACCTGCAGGTCCATCAGGTCTGACCACGCCTACAGGAAGTAACAACAGCTGATATACGACACGTCACCACCAACACCAGTGACACTTAAGATGCAGCAGCTGAAACATGTCAACAAGGTAAATACTATTTACTGTATTGTCTTTTAAAAAGAGCCCAAGTTAAACCGCCACCTGTTTGTTTCTATGGAGATGTCATTGGTCTGTCTGGAATGTTCCACAGTATGATATTAAACAACTCTACTTTACATTTATTCATTTACAGGTGGTTTTAGAGCTCAAAAATCCCTAGAAAAAGACATTCTGACTGTGAGCACGGTCGCCTCTCCACAGATCTGACCTGTAACTTGGTCTGTTTTGGTTTGAGAAAAGCATTTGACAGACCCTCTACTAAAAAAGTTACACAATGCATCTTTTTAATATCAAATCTCATTTTTACCAACAGGTCATGCGAAAGGCCTCTATCCTTTTGGGCCGCAATGAGTTCCAAGAGCTCATCCTCAGACTTCACGACGGTAAAGTCCATCAGAACTACAGCGTCAAAGACTTTAAACTGTTCACCAAATTCGTCCGAGAAGGCAAATGCACCATCCGCCTCCTCCCATCCAACACTCAAATCCTCCTGTCAAACTGCCCCCCGGCCCAGCTCAGCGCCTTCCTCAAAACTCTCACCATAAAGCACCAGGCGGGACAGGGGACCAAGCCCATGAGTGACCGGGAGAAGTTCAAAGCGGGTCTGCCCAGGAGCTTTGAAGCCATCAGCCCCCTCCAGCAGAAAGACATCCAGAAGGTGAACGAGCTCCGAGCCAAAGCTAACCCGAACATGGGGCTCTCAGATCGGACAAACAGAACCAGCACCAGCACCACGGGGGGGAAGCAGGTGAAGAGGGCCAGAGCTGACTGCAACTTTAGTCCCGTGAGTATCAGAGTGCATTCTTGATATAAAGTCTGATGATGAGGTAACATTTCTGCTGATGAAAATGTGTTACAAATCAACTGGGTATTGTCCTGGCCAGTGCAAATACTGAGTGTGTATACATGCACATCAGTATCCCGGTAATTAGCCATATCCCAGTTATGTCAGTATTCGGGTTACTGCGTTTACATGCGCACCATGATGCACACTGAGAAACCAGGACACTCATATCCGCGTGTACATGATCAAATGGAGTATCCCGGTTTCTTGACATAATCTTACAAATGCGCAAGTGCAAAAATTAACTTAAATCAATTTCATAAACCAGGAAAAATACAAACCGTGAGCTCCTTTAGCATAAGAAGCTAAGGAGCTACGAGATCTCCCACAATCCACTGCACACATCAAACCAACAGATTCTTCATTCAAATCTTCTGCATAAATAAACTCAACTTCACAACATATAAACCAGAACTACTGTAGAGTCACATCAGACTGTTTGATCAGATAATTCAGCTCTGATCACATTTGTTTACATTTTACAGAAACGAAACTTTAATTAGCATCAACTGTTAGCGGTGATAAAAACAGCTGCTCCTTGTGCCGCTGATGCGATCAGCTTCTTTTGGACTAAATGACACGACTCTGTGGATTATGTGTGTTGTTTTTGTGACAGAAGGAGGTGCTGATGATGGTGAGTCTGTTCTGTGTGTGTGTTGTACAGGAGATAGTTCATGTTTTAGCTTTTCAGTGATCACACGAGTGCAGGTCGTAAGAGTGCAGATTGTACATGTGCAGGTTTAGCGCAGCTCTTTATTTTACAGTCATTTCACTCGTTTGGTCACTTTATTTTATGTTGGTCAATTTCTTTATGTTGCTACTGTTGTGGTGAAAAGACTGGAAAGTGTCTTTTGGACGCATGCGCACTCAACTTTATGTTGCAGTAACTGGGATACTGTGGCATGTAAACACAGTATCCCAGTTACTATCGGAATAAACCAGCTACAGTAACCCGGTTTCTAATAACTGGGATACTGCCGTAACCGGGATACTGAAACCAGAGTACTGCGTATACATGCACCATGAAGAAACCGGGATACTCAAAAAACCTGATCATAACCGGGTTATTGATGTGCATGTATACACACTCAGTGACTGCTGGGTTTCAGATGACATCACAAAGTTCAATAAGTCAATTATATTTAATACAGAAGGGGGCAGATAAAATGTATATTGTTAAAATTCAGATTTTTTTTTTTTTTTTTTTTTGTAATGCAGTGAGTTCTCGGGTCTAGTCACTAATAAAACAAGTGCAATCAGAGATATCAACCTGGTCCCCATGAGGCATCGGTGGGGGCAGTTTATGAGGAGCCCAGCCCATACCCTGGTTATGTGTGTGCCAACTTGTGTGGTGATTGGGTGAATATTTTAGGCCGCAGATGGTTCAGAAATTGCCGATCCTTTATAATGGCTTGACCTTTCAATTGACCCATGTGACCTCAAAACTTGGATCATCACTAAACTTTTTTTTTTTTTGCGGCATCGGGCACAGGGGCTTGACCCACAAACCAAATTTGGTGACAATCGGTCCATAAATGGCGAAATTATCACTGGTGGACAGACACACGCAGACACACACGCAGACACACACGCAGACACACACGCAGACACACACGCAGACACACACGCAGACACACACGCAGACACACACAGACAGACACACACACAGACAGACACACAGACAGACACACACAGACACACAGACACACAGACAGACACAGACAGACACACAGACACACACAGACACAGACACACACACACACGCGGACACACACACGCGGACACAGACACACACGCGGACACACACACACGCGCGGACACACACACACACACACACACGCGCGCGGACACACACACACACACACACGCGCGCGGACACACACACACACGCGCGCGGACACACACACACACACACACACACACGCGCGGACACACACACACACACGCGCGGACACACATGCGCGCGGACACACACACACTCGGACACACACACAGACACACAAGGTGTAAACCAAACCTGGTCAACCCTTCGGGGACCAGGTAAAAAATATGATCCAAAATTTTGAACTTTACCTTTTGGATATTTCATGGCAAAGTACAATGTGATCATTAGGGTAAAACTGTCTCTTGCTCCCGTCTGACAGTGTGACACATCACATTCCAGCATCCGAAAACCATCACAAGACTTTTCAGAATCCGGACAAACCAATAACCATTACTTTTGAGCTGATTTCGATTATTTTGTCCAAATAATGTTGCTGTTTGAATGTTGTACAAACTTTCCCACAGATCTTTTCATTTAAACTGAATGTAAGAGCAGTGTAGGCACGTTTTATCCAGTGTCCTCTTCGTAGTAGTCTTCAAATAAAACTTTATGCATATTTTCAAGGCAGCTGGCAGGGACAGACAAACACTTAAACACACACCCAAAACTCTGCCTTTCTTGGAGACTGAAGGGCAACAGCAGCCGGCATGCTAAAAAGTGCAAAGTGGGTGAAGGTAGCGCCGCACAGTTAATCAAAGTTTTGGAGGTTCTGAGCTGCTCTTGCTGTTTATGTTTTAATAATGAGAAAAATTGACCAAAAGAGTGAAATATTAAACAGACTAAACCGACAGACTGGGTTTTTCATGGCCAATGCAAATAGTGAGTAGACTGTTCAGAATCCAGTGGTCGATATTTCTGGGCTGATTTGTAGGTTTGATTTTGATTATTTTATCCAAATGTTGTCCAATTTGAATGTACTACAGACTTACCCACAAGCCAGTTGTAATTTTAAGTGAATGTGAGAGCCGTGTCCCCTTTGTAGTGTTCAAATACAACTTTATGCAGATTTTCAAGACAGCTGTCAGGTCCACACTGAATTTCTTGGAGATTGAATGCAGATGGCGATATTTAACTTGATACATTAGCTCAGTTGGTTGAGCATTTGTCCACTTATTCCGGTCTCGACATGAACATCATTGGTTGAGAGCTCAGATCCACTGGCCCAGACAGGGGACAAATGCTGTTGTGTCCTTAGGCGAGAATCTTTAGAGGTGCACTGTGTAACTTTTCTGGTAGAGGGCCTGCCAGTTACTCGTCTCCGCGGAGATGTTATCACTTTACCTTCAATATTCCAAAGCGTGGCATTAAACTCTTCTAGAAACAAGCAGGATAAGTATTTTTGATCAATAAAAACACATATTTTTAAATAGTTTAATACAGGGGTCTCCAACCTTTTTCCTCCCATGAGCTTCTTTTTGTAAAATGAAACTGCCAGAGAGCCACTAATTTTAGCAGTCGCCAGAAATTTTGTAAATATAAGAGCCATGGTTAGCCGAAGATGACGTACAGTTAGATGTCTATAAAACATAACCCATTATCCAGTTATCTGTGCACAAAATTATCGTATTTTCTGGGCTATTAGACACGCTCTTAAGCCTCTAACCCCATCAAAAAACGGCTGCGCACCCCGCAATCCAGAGCGCCCTATACACGAATCCACTCAGGTGTCCCAGCACAACTTCAGTAAACTACAAAGCTGTACCACTCGCACCCACACTCATCACTCCACGCCGACAGGAACGAACTGGAGGAACGAACAGGAGGAACGAACTGAAAAATCAAGAGCAATGTGCCACTTCTAGACACAACTGAACAACTGAGTCACTGTGAACACGCAGACAATCCGTTGGTCCCAGACAGCACCCTCCCTACACGCCACAACTGAACAAAGCCCAGAGTCACCGTGAACGAACAAACAAACAAAACCACTCACCCATCACACTGTTGTGTTTTCTTTAAAGTCCAGTGTAATTTATTTGTGAAAAAAGTAAAAAAATAGACCATTTAATGACAGTGCGCCATAATCCAGAGCACCTAATAGCCCATAAAATACGGTAGGCATCAAAATTATACATTTACATTTAAGGAAATAGGCATTTAGTCAGTCAAATTTGAGTTGTTTAGCACAATATGTATTCAAAAATCCCTTTGGCGAGCTACTTGGAAGGGAGTGGACAGCTTCTGGGAGCTCCCGAGCTACAGGTTGTAGACTCCTGGTTTAATACAATATTGTTGAACATTACAGGTAGAGCAGTAGCATCTCCATGGTAGCAGACCCCTAGTGCACCTTAAGCCCACATTAACCCCGTGTGAATGGTTCCTTGATGTAAAGAGTTTGAGTGAAGTTTGAAAAGCTGTGTATAAAAATGTGACCATTGACCATAGCAGCCTGTTTGCAAAAAAGTGCAAATATGGTCCATGTATTTCGAGGTGTCTCTGTGCAGTGGGTGGAGGTCGGACGGTGCACTTAAAGGTTGTGTAGAGGATTTTCCAAGGAACGAGAAATCCAGCGACTGTTTGTCCTTTTTCAAATGTTGAACATTTGTGAAACCACCCCCCCTCCCCTACAGCTCCTATGTAGAAACACCTCCTCCCTCCTCCTCCTTACGCCAGAAACAGGTTTGTTTACAGCCGGTGCTGCACATGACTCGTAAACAACTAACTACAGTGTTGGTTAGACAAGGTGGAGAAGTGAGGAGCGGGTGCGCGGACATTTCGTGCGCGGACAAGAAGTGAGGAGCAGGGAGAAGAGCGGAGCAGGGAGAGAGGAGAGAGGGGAGGGGAGCGGTGCGCGGAGATTCCGTGCCCGGAGAAGTGAGGAGCAGGGGGAAGAGCAGAACGGGCAGCGGGGAGAGGAGCAGGAAGGGGTGCAGAGAAGAGTGCGCGGAGATTCAGTGCGAATGAACTAGCTACAACACGCAGCAGCAAGCGGACTCTTTCTTTGCATTGAAAATTACGTTTTCAGACATAGGATATCACATTTGTGTCCTGAAAAATGTTTGTGTCGCTCTTGGAAATAAAGTAAGTTTTCATAATAAGCAGAAGTTTCCTGTCCAGGAGTAATTTGGCGACCAGTGCGTCAGTCTTTAGACCCTGCGTCTGCTTCAGTTGCGCCATCGCTGGAATGAATCTACAAGAATCACCTTAGTTTGGCTTCGCTGCTTTTCCCCTTGTCTTCTTCTTTCAGCGACCTCAAAAACGGACTTTCTTTTGCGGCGAACTGCTCCAGGATTCTTGTCGCCATTGCAACAAACTTTTTGCGAACTGCAAGGAAGATATAGGTCAAAAAAAGCCGCTAAGAACTGTTGCGTTGGTGGAGTAAACAGCGTCTGTGCGGCTTGCGTCTGTGGACTGCGTGACAGGCGTACGTAAACCACGTACCGGCGGCGCGCAGGCAAGTCAGTTACGCTAGAAACGTATGGAGATTGATTGACAGCCTGTCAGCTCACAGATAACGAGGCAGTGTCGTTATCTATTGGCAAATGTTTAGCCCCACCACGTCCAGAGTTGATGAGTTTTTATTCTCTTTTTTTTGGTCATCATAATTACAAGGCTACTGCACCTCTATAATGCTATCATTGACAATTTGAAACAAAAAAAAATCCTCCATACAACCTTTAATATTGTGGAGGTTCTGAGCTCTTGCATTAGGCCTGAATGGATGACAGTTTTTCATGACCAGCATTGAGATCGTTATTAATGTTTTAATAATGAGAGAACTTGACTGAAATATGAACTGACAAACTCATAAAAGGGTTGAGGGTTTGCAGTTTTTATGCAAAATAAGACAGGATAATTATTAAAATGTTTTTGTAAGAAATTATGGCAGTTCAGAAATTGCAGACGTTTTTGATTTGCTCAGTGTCCATTCAGTTATGTTGGTAATTCTTTTCAATCCAGTAAGAGCGTAGGTTACACACTGCTGATTTAAATGTCCTTGAATGTCCTTCCAAAAATATTCTTATTATTCCCAAAACAACATTTTCTACTGCTCTATTCCCACAATTCTGTCTATTTGTCAGTTTAATCTTGTTAAAGGTGCACTATGTAACGTTTTGGTTGGGTGTCTGCTTGTTTCTATGGAGATGACTTTGCACAACCTGGAATGTTCCACAGTGTGACATTAAACAGCTCTACTCTACATTTATTCAACTAAAGGTGGTTTTATAGCTCAAAAATACCTAGAAAAACGGGCATTTTGACTGTGAGCGGGGTCGCCTCTCCACAGATCTGACCTGTAACTTGATCTGGTTTGGTCTCCATGAAGATAGAAAGGTTTAATGCCATACTGTGTAACATTCCAGTCAAAGCAATAACATCAACAGAGAAAAGCATTTGGCAGACCCTCCAGCAGAAAAGTTACACAGTGCATCTTTTTTACATGTTTTCCAGGTGAAGGCCAACCCGTCTAAGAAGCCCGTCCTGTCTCTGCCCTCCTCTAAGCTGAACAAGGAGCAGGCGGCGGTCCTCAGTGCTGTTCTGAGCGGCAGAAACGTCTTCTTCACTGGAAGCGCAGGTCAGAACAGAAGAATCAGTTTGTTTAATCTTAGGCTTGTCACGAAAACACATTTTGAAACACGATATACTTTTGATCTACCGTATTTTCCGGGCTATTAGACGCGCTCCTAAGCCTCTAACCGCATCACAAAACGACCGCGCGCCCCACAATCCAGAGCGCCCTGTACACGAATCTACTCGGATGTCCCAGCACGACTTCAGTAAACTACAAAGCCGCAGCACCCACAGAACACACAAACACACACGGAGCAGACAGCGACCGCACAGCGAAACAACACCCACAGACACACTCATCACTCCACGCCGACGAGGAACGGAACGGAGGAACGAACCGAAAAAGCCACGAGCGCGACGTGCCACTTCTAGACACGACTGAACAACTGAGTCACTGTGAACACGGCGACAATCCGTTGGTCCCAGACAGCACCCTCCCTACACGCCACAACTGAACAAAGCCCAGAGTCACCGTGAACGCACCAAACAAACAAAACCACTCACCCATCACACTGTTGGGTTTCCTTTAAAGTCCAGTGTGATTTATTTGTGAAAAAAGTTCAAAAATAGACCATTCAATGACAGTGTTTCTTATCATCCAGAGCGACTAATAGCCCGGAAAATACGGTAAATGTATTGTTTATTGTTTATTGTTTATTGATAGGATCCCCGTTAGCACAGACAAGCTGACACACTAATAAGATAATTGCATAAAAATATTTACATTTCAGCCATATCGAAGTTCATTAGTGTAACATGAATACACATTTCATATAGTAACATCATAAATACTCATTAATACAGAATTAATAAATGCATTTCAAGTGATAAAATATAAATACATATTAAACAATAATATTTCAACAAGTTTATGACACTGGCACGCTGGATTACATAAGAACAGTCTGCAGTCGGTCTATAATGACTGAACCTAGAATCTGTCCCACACAGGCACAGGGAAGTCTTTCTTACTGAAGAGGATCATTGGGTCTCTTCCTCCTAAAAGCACGTATGCCACAGCCAGTACGGGGGTGGCCGCCTGTCACATCGGAGGAACCACTCTGCACAGCTTTGCAGGTGAGTCCACGCTCCTTTCACACACAGTGTCAGCTTTGACTTTATTGATCCACAAGAGAGAGGACTTGGACACAGTAGCACATGTCACAATATATTCTAATAATGAAGAGAAAAAATATAAATGGTAATAATATATTCTAAATAAGAAACTAAAACAACAAAGGACTGGTGTCATTGAAGGCAGAATTATATAAATGTAAATACAAGAGGTGATATGATTGACAGGACATAAGATTATCTGTTACATGCATGTTAAAGGTGCATTGTGTAACTTTTCTGGTGGAGGGCCCGCCAAGTGCTTGTTTCCATGGAGATGTTATTGCTTTTCCTGGAGTGTTCCAGAGTATGGCTTTAAACTCATCAATCAATCCATAGAGACGAGCAGGAGTTAGAAGGTGCATTTGTTCCAAAACCTTTGAATGTGTAAATGTAAAAAAAATATATATATTTTTTACACTTAGAAATTTCATTTTACAGGTACAACCTAGTAATTTTGCAAGTACAAATCTGAAAATTAGTTTTGAGACATTTGTTGTATAGACAGTACTAAGTTGTATCTATAAAACAAAATGTATAACTTAAAATCTGTGTTTATTTATAAGTATACAAATTAACTTTTATACACTCAAACATTCTGGAACAATTGAACGTTCATAGAGGACACAACACCAAGCCAATTTACAATTTTACACTCAGTCAGAATGCATGTTATTAAAAACATTTGGAGCAATAAAAACAGCCATAATTATATAAGATGCATTTAATGAAGTTTAATACCATACTGTGGAACATTACAGGCAATGCAGGAGCATGTCCATGGTGTCAGACCCCCAACCTGAAATGCTGCGCCGTGCACCTTTTTAATTGAGTTGTTATAATGGAGCACCTGTGAGTAATGGCTGGACTTGCTGTTTTTAATTGGGGCTGTTGAATTTGAACAGTGAATAGTTGAACAAGTTTGTAGTATTTTCGGAAATGGAGTGATTATAACTGTCTTGTTTAATTTGACTTGGAGTGCAAAGTGTTTCTTGGAAGATTGGTTAGAGGAAATTGGCCTGGGTTAGTTTCACAACCTTCTGATCAGTGATAGAGCTGAATGATGGGAAACAAAAATGCAACATTTAAAAAGTGAGTTAGAATACATTTTAAAATGCACTGCACAACATTTGTAGCAGAGGGTTCGCCACCCGTTTGTCTCCATGAAAATGTTATTGCTTTGTCTAGAATGTTCCACAGTTTAGATTAAACCTATCACAAGAGAGACAAGCAGATTACAACTCAGAACAGAAACAATCAGTATAAATTCAAGACACAATGATGACACAGATTTATGGGACTGTACAGTTTTGGGAAATGGCTGTTAACTACTAACTTTTTGACTATTTCAGTTGCAAAACAACTGCAATGCCATATTTTGCTACAAAGTTGAATAAAACTTGACATTTTTATGCCATTTAAAAAAAAAAAAAAATTCCTATGGCAAGTTTCTATGAGAAGAAGAAGAAGTCTTCATGTTATTGCAGTATATTTAGTTTGTTGTTGACCCTGGTATTGTGATATAGTTAGTTTTTTGATCTTGCATATATTTTATAGTACGTTAGTACCTACTGTGACAACAGATTAAGTTGAACACATTTTAAGGATTTGCCGAGTTTTTTCCAGTGATAGAATGTGACACAATACAAAAGTAAAAGTACTGTATTAGAGTACAATTTTTAGGTAACTATACTTCACTTTTGCTTTACTACATCTGACTACCAGTATATGGAAAGTAAAAGTATAGTATGCTTTCCATATGATTTTAGTGATTATTTTTTGGAAAATTTTGAAATTGATGCATATTGCTACTGTAAAATCTGCACTTAATCAATATTACTACAGTAAACCCTTTTTAACCCTTAAAGTTAATTTTTAAACGGATGCGTTTACTTATTATATTTGTGAGCTTTAAGCAATGTTATAGAGCTACAAAAACATGCTTCTAGGTTGGTTTGTTTCATTCACACATGTTTGAGTAATCCTGCATTATTAGTCTGTCTACAGCTCCAAAGCTCCAAATGCTCTGTTCCACTTTGTTGTTTGTTTGATGTCATGAAGCGGCAGTTTTCAGGTTAACAGCTCCTTTATTCCTTTCGTTCCATAGAGACTGGCAAATATACAAAACAAATATCCAAATCCATCAATTATCCAAATGATACTAGTGAAGGTGTATGGAGTTTGAGTTCCTGTATAACCACGTGACATCACAAGGTGGAACAGACCCCCCCGCGTGCTTCCCCCCACATTCTAATTTCCTGGGTGCTAATGCACATTCAGAGCCCGCGCTGCATATGGAGATGTCATTTGTCCCCACTGAGCTCCTGTCCTTTGTGTTCCAGGAATTGGCTCTGGCTCCGCCCCCCTGGACCAGTGCATCGAGCTGGCGCAGAGGCCCGGGGTGTTACAGCACTGGACCAGCTGCAGGCACCTCATCATCGACGAGGTCTCTATGGTGGAGGCACAATACTTCGATAAGCTCGAGTCTGTGGCCAGGTACAAAGTCTATGAACACAGGACGGGGAGCTTTTACTGGATATTCAAAAGTCTTTAGTTTGTCAGTTTGCTTTTGAAATCAGATCTTTTTCTTATCGCTTTAAGCCACATTAGAATATTGTTACCTCACTGAAAACAAGCCTGTAGCTGTTTTGTTTCATTCACACATGTTTGAGATAAACAGTCCAATAATGTAGGATTACTCAAAGTTCAAAATGTTCTGTTCCACCTTGTGATGTCATGAAGTGGTAGATTTCAAATTAACACCTACTTTTTTACCTTTAGTGCAGTAGATATTGGCAATTCCAAAACTGAAATTACCTAAAATTCTAGTCATGGCTTATGGAGTTTAAAAACGCTCTGGAGCTTTACCTGTATTACCACATGACATCACAAGGTGGAACAGTGTTTTGTCAGTCTGAGAGAAAAACATAGAACAGAAAATGACATAATATGGGCCCTTTAAAGGGATAGTTCGGATTTTTTGACATAAATCTGTATGGCATCCCCGTCATCAGTGTCGTGCATCCACACCGACTTACCGGAAAGCGTCCGGTGAGCCGAGATACTGGCTGGTTTTGGTGCTGAGGAAAGTAGTTCGGAAAACAGTGAAATGTGCGTGGAGATTCAGCCAGATTTTTGTTGTTACAGCCTGGATAATCAAGAGTTCGCACCATTTTTTAGATATATTCTTATGTATCTTATACAAGCTCATATACTTATGGCTCTAGCTCTCTCGTTAGCTCTCTCGCGTGGCCGCGGTCTGCGCATGTAAACACTGCCGAACAACTGAAGAAAGTGATGGATCCGTGCGCGGCTGTCACCTGGCGGCCGCGCGCAGTGGTACGTACAGAGAGAAAATAGTGCCAAGCGATTATGAGGTCTGACTTTTTTGGCAACGATGGTTTTGTGATGCAAATGTATCACTCTTTTGAACACATATTGCTTTGAGAAGAAAAACGCTTTAGTATACAGTCCCCAGACAACTTGCCGAACTACTTTCCTCAGCACCAAAACCAGCGAGTATCTGGGCTCACCGGGCGCTTTCAGGGGGTAAGTCGGTGTGGATGCACAACACTGATGACGGGGATGACATACAGATTTATGTCAAAAAATCCGAACTATCCCTTTAAGGACACATTATGCAAAATCGACTTGCAGTGCTTTAAAGACTCGCCATGTAACTTTTCTGATAAGGGATTTGCCACTTGTCTGTCTCCATGGTGATGCTATTGCTTTGCCTAGAAAGCCACAATATAGCCTTAAAATGAATCATCTTTACGGGGGCAAAATGTGCCAAATTACAAGTCAGTTCTGTGGAGAGGCGTCCCCACATTTTTTTAACAATAAACACTTTTAATGTAAGACCTACTGGAGGTGCATTTAATGGAACATTGTTGAAAATTCATGACAAGGCAATAACATCTCCAGGACATGTATAGCAAACCTAGCAAACTACAAAAGTTACACAGTGAATCTTTATTTAAAAAAAAAAAAAAGTGGAAGAGGAACTGGAAGAGGAACTTGTCCATGATCAGTTTGGCTGTAGTCCTTGATCCCCAGTCTTCTCTCAGTGATGTTCTGAATTGGTGCCATTTACCACAATCTCTAAAGTCTGTCTTGTTTATGTACGTTAAGATGCACTCTGTAACTTATTGTCCCTGGAGATGTTTTTTTATGTGAATGTTTATTGCCAAAGAAACATTTCCATGGAGACCAGCAGAGGTGAGGGGAGGCGGTCAGTCCGGTTTGTGGAGATGAATTCTTTGAATAATTTCCCGAGTACGAGGCAGTGGGTAAACATGGGTGACAGGTGAAAAACTGAAGCCGCAAATGCAAAAAAACATCCAGGAATCAAAATACAACTTTGAGTACACGAACGATGAGGCAACACAATATTACCATGACGCAAAGGTGCTTTGAGTAACTTTTCTGACAGAGGGGCTGTCAAATGAGACCAAACCAAGTTACAGGTCAGATCTGTGGAAAGGCGACCACACTCAAACTCAGAATGCCTGTTTTTCTAGGTAATTTTGAGCTGTAATTGAATAAATGTAAAATAGAGCTGCTTAAGCCGTATTTACTTTAAAAGAGATGTTGATGTTGAGATGTTTTCTACTAAGTTATAACGTTATCCGATCAGCCCACAAACTCACACCATCCTCTCTGCCACACGACAATTCTCCATAAACAAAAGCGTGATACAAAAGTGGACACAGCAGCTTCACACACCTGATGTGATGTGCAGGAGTTTCATTAGTGGGATGCGTGCTGATTGTGTTGTGATGGTTTTCTGAAAGGGGTGCAAAGGGAGGGCTGCACTCAGAGCATTAAAAACAAATTAAATACGGAATGAAAAACCGTGATCAGCTGGAAGATTTTTTTTTTTGTGATTTTGTTTTTGTGCCAGATTTTTTGTGCAGTAAAACCTATCTATTTATTATGTGTGAGCCATTTTGTGTGTGTGTGTGTCTGTCTCTGTCTGTGTGTGTCTTTGTTTGTCTGTGTGTGTGTGTGTGTGTCTGTGTGTGTGTGTGTGTCTCTGTTTGTCTGTGTGTCTCTGTCTGAGTGTGTGTCTGTGTGAGAGGATGTCTGTGTCTCTGTCTGTGTGTGTGTGTGTGTGTCTCTGTCTGTGTGTGTGTGTGTGTCTCTGTATGTGTGTGTCTGTCTGTGTCTCTGTCTGTCTGTGTGTCTCTGTGTGTGTCTCTGTGTGTCTCTGTCTGTGTCTCTGTCTGTGTCTCTGTCTGTGTCTTTGTGTGTGTGTGTGTGTGATCAGACTGTCACATTTGAAGCAATCATTTCCTTTAGTGCAGCAGATGGCTGTTAATGGCTCCACAGAGTCATTGTGAGCCCCTCTATTTGCTCAAAGTGCCTGTGTCTGGGGGAGACTGACCCTGATGCACCATTCAAACACGTGTGCGCCGTGATCGCCATGAACCCTGGGCCGCGTCTCATTTCTCTGTCCTCGCTTCCCTCTCCTTAATTCCTTTCCTCGATCCTCTATTTTTCAGCTGTCAATCAAAAGTGCCATTTTAAGCAGTGTCCCAAGGAAAGAGTAAACCTGAGGGAGACTTCAGGAGCAGACATCAGATAAAAGAGTCAAACTTTATTGGTCTCAGTGAGGAGTTTAGATCCTCTCTCTCTCTCTTTGCTGTGTCTCCTCAGTGGGCTTTATTTCCTCACCTATTTCCTGCAAAATCAAGGAGAGGAATCAAAGAGAAGGAAGCGAGGAAAGAGAAATGAGACGCAGCCCATGTGTGCGTCGTGATCACCATAAACCCTGGAGGAGCTCTATTAACCGCACTTCCTCCCACAAAACATTTAGACTAATTATATGCAATTATAAACCCCCTTGTCAAAGCCTGAGCTCGTCACATGTCAGGAGCTAAACAGAGCCTGGTGTGGTTAGGACTTGGACGAATGAACGAACAAGTGCAATCAGAAACATCAACCTGGTCCCATGAGGCGTCAGTGGGGTCAGTTCAACAGCACAGAAGCAGTTTATGAGAAGAACAGGCCATATTACATGATCATTATATCCACAATACAATGTGTGTATGTGTACAGGCCTATGAGAATGTCTGTGTTTACTAGTGTGTAACCAAACTGTCATTTTTCGTTAGTTGTGTGACTGTAGATCAGTGTGTTGTGTATCACCAGAAAAACAAGAAATGGAAATTATTTTCGCTCCAATTAGAATTTTAACTGCTACACTGAAAGAGAAAAGAACTGTTATAATTAGTGATGATCTCAAACTATTAATATTTTACTACACAAATGCATAGAATTATAAATGGATAATATTTTTTCTGAGATTTTGAGACACTCCTGTTGATCAAGCTCCATCCTTCGTGGAGTCATGACCAAAAACACATATTTGACCTTGGTTACCTTGACATTCAAGTGACCTTGACTGGTTTCAACCTGTAACATCAAGTGTACCCCGGTTCTGTGTGTGCCAACCTGTGTGATGATTGGGTGACTATTTTAGGCCATGGATGGTTCAGAAATTGCTGAAATTGCCGATCCTTCATAATGGTGTGACCATTTAATTGACCCATGTGACCTCAAATGACCTTGGATCATCACCAAACTTTTTTTGCGGCATCGAGCATGAGGGCTTGACTCGCATACCACATTTGGTGACAATCGGTCCATAAATGGTGGAATTATCGCGGGTGGACCCAGACACACACAGACACACAGATGGTGAATACAAAACCTGGTCAAACCTTCAGGGACCAGGTAATAATGCACCAAATTGAAAGAGCTTATTCAAAAATACAATTCAACCATGCATTTAAAGTGTTGTATCTTATCTTTTTGTGGATAATGTTGTATTTCATGGTTTCATTTGTCATTTCGTTTTCCTGTGCAGGTCCGTGCGCAGGTCCACGGAGCCGTTCGGAGGGATCCAGCTCATCATGTGTGGGGACTTCCTGCAGCTGCCTCCAGTGTCTAAAGGGAAGGACAAGGCCAAGTTCTGCTTCCAGGTCTGAGCACATTTATGGAGGAACACAGGGACGGGAATATTCTTTTTATGATGTGGAATGTTACTAGCCTGATTCTTCAGCCCGTTTTACTTCGTTTCACTTCGTAGAAACCGTCTGACCTCACAGCGTTAGAATTCATTTGCTTGATGGTAGGCGGGTACTTTTTTTACTTTAACCAGTTGCTGCTATTCGGTAGTCACGTATGTATTGTTCCGGCTTTAAATCCTTGATCTAGGGAATCGTTGCCAACACAGAATGTCTGGCTCTTCTCTGATTGGCTGGTGCTCGAACTCGCACTTCCGGAGTTTTTGTGAACTGTCTATTGCAGGGGTGCTCAATACATTGATCGTGATCTACCAGTCGATCGCCAAGGTCGTGTGGGTAGATCGCCGTGTCTCGTCTCGGACTCGATCACGTTTGGACTCGGTCTTGTCTCTCTCTCAAGGTTTGACACTCAACAAGTGTGATCATATTTCATTCCGGCCGCTGCTGTTGGTAATAAACTTGTAGCGGGTGCAGGAGCGTGTGGGGCGTCTCAGTGCAGCCTGTGCGCTCATTTGAAACCCGCGGAGACTCTACGGCACATCACAAACACACACGCTCCCTATGCACGGCTCGTCTGCAACAGCGTGTGCCCTCGTGTACCAGCGTGCATCACAGGGCAGGTTCAACTTCCTAAACATCCTACCTGTCCATCTGCCTCACGTCAGCACGCCGCCCCTCGCCTTTTCACGCTCTCGCTCCTTCCTGCGTACAGCCAACACAAGCCCCTCCCACAGTGCGGCTGATTAGAAGAGCAAAGACCAAACGTGAAGCAAAAACCAGTCTAAATTTGTGTTCCAGTGTTGGCACAAAGCAGGTCTACAGCATAGAGCAGATCTACAGAACAGACCTACTGCCACATTTGGCTGAAGTTTGTCTAACAAAAGTGACAAATGCATCTGTGTTTGTCACGATGTGTGTTTGGTTTGGTAAATGTGCAGAGGCTGGTAAATATCACTGCAAAACCAGAAAAGAATGAAACTCCAGTTTGGAACTTTAAAAAACAGGTTTAAAAATCTTCCTTCACTTTTTTCACAGTTTTGTGTAAAGTGCCAGAGGAAGTTCTCTTAAAGAAGAGGTTCTCAAACTGTGGGGGAGGGTCCAAAAAAAAGGGGCACAGAGTGTTTCAGTGCAGTTTGCTTGGCTTTGTATTAGGTAGATCATTTTGACTTGGTCATTTTGTAAGTAGCTCACATGCTGAAAAAGTGTGAACACCCCTGATCTAGTGTATTCTGATTCCTAACCCTGGAGAGAAATGAAATTGAGCAGAGGCACTAGGTGGCACCAGCCTGACTAGAATGTTACACAATATGGCATTAAATGTGCACTACCAGTCAAAAGTTTGGACACACCTATGTTTCTTAATCTTCATGACTATTTACACTGTAGATCCTCACTAAAAGCATCAAAACTATGAATGAACACACATGTAGTGCAGTAAGCAAAACATAAACTCAAAGTAACGTTTTAGAAGTAATGTTTTAGATTTTTAACTATAACCCTCATTTTGTTTTGGACAATGCTTTTCACTTTTTGCATTTTTTGACCCTGAATGGCACGGCTGTGAAGTGAATGTATTAAAAAGTGTTGAGTTTTACTTTAGTTTGTTTTTTTCTTTTACAACATAACTTTATTTATCTTATCTAAAATCCAGAAAGTCAGACAGGAAAAAAAAAGATGAGGTGTGTCCGAACTATTGACTGGTTGTGCGTACGGCTTGAACACTTAATTAGAGGTGTCTTATTATAGAAAAAAGGTCAGATCTGTGGAGACGCTGACGGAATAGATTTTACACTTAACTTGGAGGACTGTGCTAGAGGAGGTGCTGGCCGCTTGTCTCCATGGCGATACTGTGCCCTCCAGACAAAGCAATAACTTAACTTTCCTTAGAGACTTGCAGGACCTTTTTTTTTAGCGTTTTTGCCAAAGTATAATATTGATATCATCAGTTTTATGAAGGCGTATATTTAGTCAAAGTGTGCGTTGGTGAAGTTTGACTCTTTGAGGAGATTGTTGCTTACGGTGCAAATTTGTGATGAAGGGCAGACTCGACTTGTGTACTAATGAGCAGAAGGATTTGAATCGAAAGTACTCGCTGTTAAGTGTTAGTATTGAAATCGAGTTTGAAAAGGATGGTACCAAGAATAGACTCGATACTTAATCTGATACCATGGTTATAATAAAATAACCGATAGTCGAACCTCGGATTCAGGAGGAGCAGTGTGGTTTTCGTCCTGGCCGTGGAACACTGGACCAGCTCTACACTCTCCATAGGGTGCTCGAGGGTTCATGGGAGTTTGCCCAACCAGTCCACATGTGTTTTGTGGATCTGGAGAAGGCATTCGACCGTGTCCCTCGTGGTGTCCTGTGGGGGGTGCTCTGGGAGTATGGGGTCCGGGGCCCTTTGCTAAGGGCTGTCCGGTCCCTGTATGACCGGAGCAGGAGCTGTGTTCGCATTGCCGGCAGTAAGTCAGACCTGTTCCCGGTGCATGTTGGACTCCGCCAGGGCTGCCCTTTGTCACCGGTTCTGTTCATTGTATTTATGGACAGAATTTCTAGGCGCAGTCAGGGGCCGGAGGGGGTCCGGTTTGGGGACCACAGGATTTCATCTCTGCTGTTTGCGGACGATGTTGTCCTGTTGGCTTCATCGAACCAGGACCTGCAATGTGCACTGGGGCGGTTTGCAGCCGAGTGTGAAGCGGCTGGGATGAAGATCAGCTCTTCCAAGTCCGAGGCCATGGTTCTCGACCGGAAAAAGGTGGCTTGCCCTCTCCGGGTGGGTGGGGAGTCTTTGCCTCAAGTGGAGGAGTTCAAGTATCTCGGGGTCTTGTTCACGAGTGAGGGAAGGACGGAACGTGAGATTGACAGGTGGATCGGTGCAGCTTCGGCAGTGATGCGGTCGCTGTATCGGACCGTTGTGGTGAAGAGGGAGCTGAGTCGAAAGGCGAAGCTCTCGATTTACCGGTCAGTCTTCGTTCCTACTCTCACCTATGGTCATGAGCTCTGGGTAGTGACCGAAAGGACGAGATCGCGGATACAAGCGCTCGAAATGAGTTTCCTCCGCAGGGTGGCTGGGCGCTCCCTTAGAGATAGGGTGAGGAGCTCAGTCACACGGGAGGAGCTCGGAGTAGAGCCGCTGCTCCTCCACGTCGAGAGGAGCCAGTTGAGGTGGCTCGGGCAATCTGTTCCGGATGCCTCCTGGGCGCCTCCCTCGGGAGGTGTTCCGGGCATGTCCCGCCGGGAGGAGGCCCCGGGGAAGACCCAGGACACGCTGGAGGGACTATGTCTCTCGGCTGGCCTGGGAACACCTCGGGGTCCCCCCGGAGGAGCTGGAGGACGTGTCTGGGGTGAAGGAAGTCTGGGAGTCCCTGCTTAGGCTGCTCCCCCCGCGACCCGGCCCCGGATAAGCGGACGAAAATGGATGGATGGATGGGTTATAATAAAAATCGCAATAGGATGTAATTTTTAACATTAAATCATAGTACTTTGTGGTCTTATGTGTGTGTAATCCCTCGGTCGGTTCCATAGTGCTCCATGGTACATACTAGTCTATGTGCTCTTAAACCCTCCTATTAGTATAGAGCAGTATCAGTTATGTGATCACGATGATGCGCGAATTTCAGGTGGAGGGCAGGAAGTGAAGACAAACACGACAAACAAACACGGCTCTGGAGAACACAGATATGGAGAAGAGTTCTTATTGTCAGGATTTAGAGCCAGTAGCAAGGCAAAAGTACGAGCAGTTAGTCGACAAATATATTGGACGTGACCCTGATCTTATTGAAAATGAGAGAATTTTCAACTGAAGTAAAAGATTTGCCGACAATCGAGGCAGAGGAGATCAAGAACTATTTAGCTCTTCAGACATCGTTCTACACCAGACAACAGATGAAGGCAAAGTACAAAAGTTTGGAGGCATAGAACTTTTTTTGTCAGTGGATGGATCCTCAACCTCGGTGCAAAACGTCTAAATGATGATTATGGTTTGGTCTTGGCCGGGGTGAGTGTTTCTCTTATTTTATGTGTATAGACTGTTATGGGAAAAACTGCAGTGTATCAGCAGTGACCTCTATCTGAACTATTTAATGTCAACAAACGTCGTTAGTCGTTAATGATTCGTTTATGTTTAAGTAAACCACAAAAAACAATCTATCTTTGTAACAAACCTTTGTTGAAGTGTTCACTGCAGACACGAGCATTAGCGAATTCTGCTCCTCCCGACCGCAAACAGGTTTGTAATCCACTTTTTACGGCGTTTTTCTGTCGGCTTTTCCCATTTCTGACCTTTGTGGACGACTATATTCGGTACTCTAAAAAAAAAATCGCTTTTCCTTCTCGGTTAGAACGATTGGCACAGCTGTAAACTACACAACACATCGGCATTTTCCTCCAGTCAGTTCACTTCCTGCCCTCCGTCTGATTTTGCGTGCTGACAAACGTCGCCCTGTGACGTCACGTGAAACCCAGATATTTCGAAAGATTGATCTCGGATTGTTTAATGTAATGATACGGTATCGATATCGTGGGCTGCTGTATCGATATATCACCAAGTATTTTTTTGGTGTATTTTACTAAATTATTTTGTTACAGCTACAGTTTTCTTGCTTGTTTAGAGGAAGGAAACTTGTTTATGTTACACATTTGACATTTTCTCTGTTTTGATGATTAAAATTGGCTTTTTTCATAAGAACTTTGTACAAGAAGTGGTTTAATAAAGAAGTTTAGTATCACAGCCATGATTTAGTCTTATTTTTTATTGGACTTTATCGAATAATTTTGAAATGTATCAAATCGAATCGAAAGTGCACTGTATTGGCAGCTTCTTTTTTATAACTTCATTTTTATTGGTTTTAAGTAACATTTCAAAACGTACAAAAACAATGTAACAACAGTCTGGAGTTACAGGTTCTTATTTAAACATGCATTTGGTATTGACATTTTTATGCACTATGTTGTTTTACTGGTGTCATTGATGAACACTTTCCATTTTTCCCATTGCTCATCGTATTTGTACCTTTCAGTTTAAGATTATATGTTATTCTTTCCATCGCTGAAATATTCTCCACAATCCTGATCCAGTCTCGTTTTGCAGGTGGTTGTAACCAATTCTTTGTAATTCACTTTTTAGATGCAGTTAAAACAGTTTTTGTCAAATACATGTCCTTTTTCCTTACTACATCAGATATATTTCCCAGATACATCACCAGACATGTGTTTGGAATTCCATATCCCAGAATACTCGTTAAGGTTGTGTTTAATTGTCCCCAATATACCCTAATTTTCAGGCAACTCCAAAACACATGTGTGATCAGCGTCCATTTCTCCACACAACCTCCAGCACTCCTGTGGGGTGGAGGTCTGTCTACTTTTGATTTTAGGTGCAATGAAAAAACATGTCAAATTCTTCCAGCAATATTCCCTATTGGCAACTTCTTAACGATACCCAGACCTATTTTTAAAAGTCACTTGTTTCTATGGAGGTGTCATTGCTCCACCTGGAACTTTCCACAGTATGACATTAAACAGCTCTATTACATTTACTCAATTACAGGTGGTTTTATAACTCAAAAATACCAAGAAAAACAGACATTTTGAATGTGAGCAAGGTCATCTCTCCACAGATCTGACATGTAATTTGGTCTGGTTTGGTCTCCGTGAACATAGAAAGGTTTAAAGTCATACTGTGACACATTCCAGACAAAACAATAACATCTCCAGAAAATAATTTGATGGATCCTCCACCAGAAAAGTTGGAGAATGTACCTTTAAGTTATTCAGGAGAGGTTAATTTCTGCTCAAATATGTATCTAGTTTCGATATTAGTTTTAGTATTTAATTTTCAATAACTGTTGTTAATCCTTGTCTTTCCCACGATCCTCAGTCTCGGAGTTGGCGTAAGGTGATCCAGGTGAACATGGAGCTGACGGAGGTGCGGCGCCAAACGGACCAGAGCTTCATCTCGCTGCTGCAGGCCGTGAGGGTGGGCAGGTAAACCAACCAAACGCTCCTGCTCTGGATGTATACGTTTTATTTAAATTTGCACTGCGTGACCTTTCAAGTGGAGGGTCTGTCACCTGCTTGTCACCATGGAGATGTTTTTGCTTTGTCTAGAATGTTCCACAGTATGGATTAAACCTGTCTGTCACGAGAGAGTCGAGCAGGTTACATCACTACGCTACTTTCACATGTCCCTATTCATTCACAGAAGGAATTATCGTGTTTTTGAGCAATAGAAACACCGGTCATGAATAAATGTTAGATGGGTACATTTAATATCACACAATGGAACATTTCAGGCAAAGCAATAACATCTCCATGGAGACAAATAGGTAGAAGACCCTCCACCAGAAAAATTGCACAGTGCACCTTTAAAGGCCGTACACTCTTGTCAGCTTTTTGCCATGTTAGAATGTTTCTCCATCAAAAACATACATGGAGGTGTTTTGTTTCATTCACACATGTTTGAATAAGCCTTTATTATTAGTTCTATCCTGTTCTGTTCCACCTTGTGATGTCATGTAGTGGCAGTGTTGGGAAGGTTACTTTTAAAATGTATTCCCCTACAGATTACAGATTACATACCCCAAAATGTAGTTTGTAATGTAATCCAATCAATTACTTATAGTGAGTAATGTAATCTGAATACTTTGGATTACTTGATTTGCTGTAAAGTAGCAAAGACGAGGAAATCTTCACATCAAATGTTTTATCTGCTAAAAGAAAATAAAAAGCCCAGATTTTACTGAACCAAATTAAAAATATTATTGGTAGAAAAGGAGGAAACACGGTCTGCACGGCATGGTTTATTTTATTTATTTATTTATTTATTTATTTAATAGGGACAGTGCATATTAATGAACATCTACAACATTGCAGTGTAAATATGCCAGATTATAGCAAGACTGCGAATTTCCATCTGTAGTCCCTAGGCAGGAAACACCACAAATTTAAACAAAGCAAAAACAAGTAACAAATCTATACTAAAAGTGTCCACAAGTCTGTTAAATCCTGGTTTAGTCCTGGTTTAGACCTGCTTTTAGCCCTAGTTTAGACCTGGTTTTAGTCCTGGTTTTAGTCCTGGTTTTAATCCTGGTTTGAGTCCTGGTTTGAGTCCTGATTTAAACCTGGTTTAGTCCTGGTTTAGATCTAGTTTAGTCCTGGTTTTAGTCCTGGTTTAGTCCTGGCTTTAGATCTGGTTTAGATCTAGTTTAGACCTGGGTTTAGTCCTGGTTTTAGATCTGGTTTAGATCTAGTTTAGACCTGGTTTAGTCCTGGTTTAGATCTAGTTTAGTCCTGGTTTTAGTCCTGGTTTAGTCCTGGTTTTAGTCCTGGTTTTAGATCTGGTTTAGATCTAGTTTAGATCTAGTTTAGTCCTGGTTTTAGTCCTGGTTTAGTCCTGGTTTTAGATCTGGTTTAGATCTAGTTTAGACCTGGGTTTAGTCCTGGTTTAGATCTAGTTTAGACCTGGTTTTAGTCCTGGTTTAGATCTGGTTTAGATCTAGTTTAGACCTGGTTTTAGTCTTGGTTTAGTCCTGGTTTAGACCTGGTTTAGATCTAGTTTAGACCTGGTTTTAGTCCTGGTTTAGACCTGGTTTAGATTTAGTTTAGACCTGGTTTTGATTTAGTTTAGACCTGGTTTTAGTCCTGATTTAGTCCTGGTTTAGTGTCCGGCAATGAGTGGAATTACTGAGGAAAAAAAAAAAAAAGGGATACAGCCCAAAATGTGAAAACGGGAAAATACCACCATGTAATCCATTTATTTCAACAAAGTAACTGTAATCCAATTACCACTCACTGAAACAGTAACTGTAACTAAATACAGTTACTCATAATTTGTACTCTGATTACGTAACTCTGGTACATGTAATCTGTTACTCCCCAACACTGTAGTGGTAGCTTTCAAGTTTCAACACTCAGAGTTGTGATTTGTGTCATTTATTTGCTGTCAGGCTCAGCAGCACTTTCATAATAATACAACGCCCACAGAAACCTCTGGCATAAGGTGAATAAAAGAATCTGTGTATCATTTTTTAACCGCCTTAGCTGAATAATCACTCTCACAGATGAGTGCCTTTTCTATATATTTATTTTCTATGCACATAGATCACCGCAAGAGCTAAAAACATATACAGTGGTTAAATTTACATCCGTGATAATAATAAATCATTTTTAAAATCCTATCCGGAAGAAGCCCGGAAGTGACGCCAGCCCTACACCTGCAACCCCCCCTTCAAGATGACCCAGATCTTTACCATTTGTTCATTTGTTTCAATTTAAAATAAAAAATAAGAGATCCACAAAACAAAACAAAAAGATAAGTATTTGTTTTTTCTGTTTTTAATTTAGTGTTTTAGACCTTTCCCGTTTATGTGACTTGAACTGACTTAAACTAAACCAGGTCCAACCAGGCCAGTACAGAGGCCGGGGCCTGAGGCCGGGGCCTGAGGCCGGGGCCTGAGGGCCTGAGGCCGGGGCCTGAGGCCGGGGCCTGAGGCCGGGGACTGAGGCCGGGGACTGAGGCCGGGGACTGAGGCCGGGGACTGAGGCCGGGGACTGAGGCCGGGGACTGAGGCCGGTTTAGTCCTGGTTCAGTCCGGCATCACAGTTTAAGTCACGGAAAGAGGAAACGGTCGTTATCTGTTTTTTCCATTATTCATTTAAACATAAAATTGAAAACTGAAAAACGAATCATTATCCATTTTGTCATTTTGGTTTTGGAGACAAATAATGAAGAAAACTGTAATTTTTTCATATTTTAGATTTTATTTTGAAGAACGAATGAACGAATGATACACAGATTGAAAAGGATGCTGAAAGTGATTGAAAGTTTGTTTTCCCAAAGTTGTGCAGCCCTATTCCAACTGCCAAATCCAATATTGTTTGTGTTGGAGCGGTGTGAATATGGGTCCCAACACACACCATCCACAGCCTCGTTAGATCCTTCAGACCTCTTCCTGTCCCTCTCACCTTCAGAGTAACAGAGGAAGTGACCTCCAGGCTCCTGCACAGCTCCTACCACAACATCGAGCGGGACGGGATCCTGGCCACACGTCTCTGCACCCACAAAGACGACGTGGAGCTCACCAACCAGAGCAAGCTCCAACAACTGCCAGGTACCACTGGGACTGGGACTGGGACTGGGACTGGAACTGGACCTTAGAGCATGAAAAAAAAAAACTGCGCGCAAATTATAGATGATCCATGCATGAGAGAGTGAAATATGAGAGTGTGACTTTGTGGATATTTTTATTTGATTCTCTTGATACATTCACTGTATTTATTCCTTTTTCATCCATCACTCCCACTGCTTTTTAGTGAAGTTTTAAAAGCCCTTCTGGGGACTGGTGAATGAGCCTTGGCTATAAACACTGTGATACCTGCATTAGATTACTAATTCTAATTCTGTAGCTGTCCCTATTCAAATAAATAAGTCAACAAATAAATACAATAAAAACATGTATTATATTGAAAATAAATAAATAAGCACTTATACAAATACATAAATAAAAAATAAATACCATTACAAAAGACACTAATTTGTAGCATGTGTCTTATAACATTCAGAACAAAATGTATAACGTTTAACTGAAATAAGTAATAATTCAATTGATTCTGTAAAAATCCACACTTGTTTCTCAGTCCTTTTATGTAGATTTTTCTCCTTTTTTAATGTGTGAGTGGTCGTGTTTTTGACATGAATGGAGCATACCTCTCTCTGATTGGTCAATCCACCTGTCAATCACGCCCTCTGAAATCAGGGAGACAGGATACAGCTCCAGATGCACTCGTTTTTTTTGTACAGTTTTTTCAAAGTTCGTGATTCTGGCTGGTCCTGTGAGGAGGCTGGGGCTGTGTGGGGGGAGGGTGGGAAGGCCTGTCGTGGTAATTACTATATTGACTTATCATTTAATACAGACATGTGAAACTCAGGCCCGGGGGCTAAATTTGGCCCGCGATATAATTATATTTGACCCACGAGATCATATCAAATATGTATTAGAGCTGCCCCCTGGCTACAGATCGACTATAGAGACATTATTTATATAAAATGTTGTTATTTTATCTTCTGCTTGTTCTAGATTCAGTGTTTAAGCAAAACTATTATTCAACATTTATTTGAATAAGAAAAGGTTTAACATTACAGATCTCAAAAGAAGAGAAAACATGCAGATGTTGTGGAAATGTTTCAATAAATATTTAGTTTGGCCCACGACTTTGTCCCAGTTTTTAATTTTGTCCTCTGTAAATTTGAGTTTGACTCTCCTGGTTTAATATATGAAAAACTGTATTTATCATATGTACTTTTTCTTTGCACTGCTGGGAAATTTTTGGTTATATTTTGGTTTTATGATAAGATTTAAAGGTGCATTGTGTAACTTTTCCGATGGAGGGCCCTTTAAACGCTTTTCTCCGTGGAGATGTTATTGCTTTGTCTGGAATGTTTCACAGTATGACATTAAACATTTATATCTTCACGTGGAGACCAAACCAGACCAAGTTACAGGTCAGATCTGTGTAGAGGTGACCCCGCTCTCAGTCAGAATGTCTGTTTTTGGAGGTATTTTTGAGTTCTAAAACCACCTGTAATTGAATAAATGTAAGTTAGATCTGTTTAATGTCACACTGTGGAACATTCCAGGCAGAGCAATGATGTATCCATAGAAACAAACAGCTGACCATCAACCGAAAAGTTAGTCACCTTTAAGCCATAAAAGAACCAGTAACTCTTTGACTCATTACAGATGCAAACTCACTCCTAAAGTTTTTCATTCTGCTATTTTAATGCAGCTCATGTTTTTGTAACAGTATTAGAATAATTTTTGTGTTTTAAATCTGCTCTTGGATTATTGAGTGGCATAAATTAGTTTCAGTATTTATCATTATATCATTTATCGTCTATTTTAAATTTCGTGATCGTGACAGGCCTAAGGGATGGAGGCTGTGCCGTTTGGATTCAGAGGAAATGTGCAGGAAAGCAACCTGGACTCACACTGACCCGTCATTTTCACTCATTTGGACTCGGCAGCAGCAGCTTGTGTAACAGCTGAATAAACGGTTTTAAAATAGGGAAAATTTGTTGTGCTGGTTTTAGAAATCAGTTTAATCCTTTCTTAGCAACAATTTAAATGTAATCTGATTCAAAACTCATCTTTTTATAATACTTTTTCAGATGCTCAAAAAAGACTGTTTACAGTTCCCTGCATTATTAATTCACTGCATACATTGTTAAAAGTGCACTATGTTCTTTTTTGATAGGGGGTTTGTCGCCTGTTTGTTTCTATAAATATGTCATTGCTCTGCCTGAAATGTTCCATATTAGATCATTAAACAGCTTTAACTTACATTTATTAAATTACATGTCTGTTTATGTCTCAAAAATACCTAGAAAAACAGACATTGTGACTGTGAGTGGCGTCGCCTCTCTGCAGGTCTGACCTTTAAATTGTGGTCTGATTTGGTTTTCATAGAAATAAAAAGGTTTAATGCCATACTGTGAAACATTCCAGACAAAGCAGTAGCATCTCCATGGAGAAAAGCTTTTGTAGGATGCTCCACCAGAAAAGTTACACATCCATCCATCCATTTTTTTCCACTTATCTGGGGCCGGGTCGCAGGGGCAGCAGTCTGAGCAGGGACTCCATATTTCCTTCACCCCAGACACTTCCTCCAGCTCCTCTGGAGGGACCCTGAGGTGTTCCCAGGCCAGCCCAGAGACATAGTCCCTCCAGTGTGTCCTGGGTCTTCCCCGGGGGCTTCCTCCCGGTGGAAAATGCCCAGAACACCTCCCGAGGGAGGTGCCCAAAAGACATCCGGAACAGATGCCCGAGTTACACAATGCGCCTTTTTAAATAAGACGCTATTGTAGCCACACCTGCCCTGGGGTAGACTGAAAAAAGTGAGACTGCCAATCTGCCCCTATGTCCAACACCAACGCACACACAACTTTCAAGCTAGGCAATGTGGGTGAAGTGTCTTGCCAGTTTTACTTCACTCCACTGTGGTTCCTGATTTTTGTATTTAATTTTTTCCCCCCAGCTGTCTCCCATCCAAGTTCTGACCAGGTCCAACTGTGCTTAGCTTCAGAGGTCAGACAAGATCAGGCTTTGACGAGGAGGTTTTGTCCTGAAATCAAATCAGTGTTACGATTTATAGTAAAACGAATCTTTCCAAACACTGTTATTCACGACTGATCAACCAACACTGCAAGTCCAATTCAACCAAATGTCAATAGCAACTTGAAATCCAGTGTCTCGATCTGTTTTTGTCCCTCAGGAGCTGCCCGTGTGTTTGAGGCTCTGGACAGTGACCCTGCCCTGGAGAAAACCATCGACGCCCACAGCCCAGTGAGCAGAGAACTGCAGCTCAAAGTGGGAGCTCAGGTACACAAGGCCCACTGCACATCCAGAATATACACATGTACACATACACATACATACATCAGGGCTATGATCATGGCACAGGGTTTCCAGGGTCATGGAAATCCTGGGAAAGTCATGGAATTTCCGTATCTCTTTCACACAACTCCAGCGGTTTTTAAAATTCTCATTTGGCTATTCTGATTATTTCTTAACGTCTGCGCCTTTTGTTTGAAAGAGATGACAATAAATGCACTGACAGGATTTGAAATGTTCAAAAACTATAATCCCAAACATAAGGTGATTTAGCCCTAAAAGTCTGATCAATTCTACACATGAAAGTGCCGTCAAGTCATGAAAACATAATGAAATGTTGTCAGTGAAAAAGAGTGGGACCCCTGATGGCATCATTTTAGCTTGTCCACCTTAAAACTCAAACTTTGTGTTTTGAAATATGAATAAGTTTTAGACAAATTCTGATTATTTATTATTTGTGATTCTTAAAATTAAGACTCCAAGTTAAAGAAAGTTGTGGGCAGCGATGGGTAAAATAGATATGATGTTGGAGTTGTTTTGTTTCATTCACATGTTTAAAACACAAACCCTGCAAATTTAGGTTTTCTTTTCTCAAACAGACAACACTTCATTCCACCTTGTGATGTCATGTGTTCATACAGGAAGTGCTTCACTGTGTTTTTAAACTCTACTGTATATACACCTCACTAGAATAATTTAGATCATTTCACTTCTAGAATTGCCAATCTCTACCAAACTAAAGGAAAAAGGAGCTGTTAACTGAAACTACCAGTTCATGGCATCACAAGGTGTAAACGGTGCATTTTGAGCTTTGGAGATGTAGACAGATTAATAGTAAAGGATTACTCAAACATGTGTGAAAGAAACAAAACATAACTCCATGTACATTTTTGAGGAGGAAACGGCATTTATAACATGACTTAAAGCTCACAAGAGTTCATTTTGTGTAATATAGGACTTTTTAATAACTACTTAATGCGTTAGGGCTAGAATTTACATTTACTAAACCTGAATCTCAATATAGTGTATTTTGTGCACTATAGGGGCTCTGGATTATAAGGCGCACTGTCATTGAATGGTCTATTTTTGAACTTTTTTCACACATAAACCGCACCGGACTATAAGGCACATTAAACGAAACACAACAGTTAGATTAAGTCAGTCAAACTTTATTTAACGCATTCACAATAACTCTCAACTTCATTCAATTGTAACGTGTAAAAAAAATACTGTCTGAGATGCTAAATTGTTCGTGTAATCACAATAAGTCATAATAGTTCAAACAGTTGGGTGATTCCGGCGTCCACACGTCCACATCCCTCTGGTCATTATCCGAGTCAGTGTGGTTACTGTTCCCTGGAGTTCAGTTCACTGATGATTCTGGTCTTGGTGAAAGCTCGGACCACAGTTGATACTGATCCTTAGCCCGGGCGTCCACGATCCATTGGCAGATCGTGGTGTAAGTCGCTCGGCGCTGTCTCTCTGTCTTGGTGAATGTGTGTTCTCCTTCTGTCATCCACTGCTCCCATGCAGCTCACACTTTCACTTTATAACAGCCTTGAGTTTAAAGTGGGTGTTGTGAGTGTGTCTCTTGACAGGTGCATTTTGATATTAAAAGGAATCACAGTATGTATTACTCCTGATGCTCCTGACTACGGGAGCCGTAATGCTGCAAGTGGAGCGGCTTTGTAGTTTACTAAAGTCGTACTAAGACACCCCAATAATTTCATATATAAGACACTCTGGATTATAAGGCGCACAGTCCTTTTTGGATGAAATTAAAGGCTTTTAAGTGCGCCCTATCGTGTGGAAAATATGGTACTGTTTATTCGCCATGATTAAATATTTGCTTTGAAGCTAATTTGTAAAGTTGCTAAATAAAGAGATAAAAAACAACAACTATTACATAAGATCCGTTGACACTCGCCCGCGGTTTATTCTGTTCTATTGTATTGTTGGTCCTTGAAAGGTGGTGGAGCCTACATTACGTTAGTCCCTGGATGGATGACTCCTTCTGAAGTTTGCTGGGGGCCTTGTTAAACCTCTTCTTCTCTCATTTTTGCAGGTTATGTTGACCAAGAATCTGGACGTGGCCCGGGGACTGGTGAACGGAGCCAGAGGAGTGGTCGTGTCCTTCGATACTCAGAAACATGGTCAGTCTTCATTAGCCTGGAGCTTTATTTATGTAACGATTATAGTTCTTCAATTGGAGACGAGGATAAGGTGGATACATCATGATTCATTCAAGATTTTATGTTACATAAAATTGAGCCATGTTATAATGTTGTTACCTCATCAGAAACATACTTGGAGTTTTTTGTTTCATTCACATTGAACAAGGAAACAACATTATAACATCAATCAGAAAATAAGTATGGACACTTATCATATTAACAAAAGGTATCCTCCTTGAACTTCCTCAAACTTCAGACTTTTTCTATTTAATTTCACACAGAAAACAGAAACAGAAAACTGCAGATGACGTAATAGATGCACTAAAAGAAATTGCGATGCTTTCTGTCTGAACGTCTTTGCAGAGGAAAACAAAAAAGGAGACAAAATAAATTGGTGGTACTGAGATTTATTAAAGGCTCTGTGCCAGTCTTAAAAGTCCACCCTCTCCCCCAACCTGTTTATGCTGTACCCACTTCCCCTTTGTGCCATCTGTGAGTGGCATATCTCTTTTCACTGTGTTGTGGAATGCCTTCAGATTTATCTCACTCAGCCAAATGATGCCCCTGCCCCCGCTTTAGTCTCACTCCAAAACTGCCTCAAGGACATTCATTCATGGCTAGAGTCAAATTTTGTTAAAAAAAAAAGCTTTTTATTGATCCACATTTTACATTTTAAAAACAAATTGCAGTCGCAAAGGCCAGATTTTTCCAGCTTCACATGCTGAGTAAAACAGAACAAAGAAAATCCTCCAAAGAGACATACTTTTATTACGTCCAGGATGGACCATTGTAACTTACGCTGACATGTGCTGGACCAGACTCCTCTCTGTTCAGAGACAGAGTTACAAGGGAATGCAAAACACATCAGCCCACCTCCTGATAGGGGACAGAAAGTGAGAACATATTATATTATTTGACCTATATTATTTAAATGTTGTTTTGCTTTCTGTGTCGTGTGTATTGTGGTTTACTGCTGGGTGTAAAGCAGCTGTACAAATACATTTGACTTGACTTCAAAATGTGAAGAACATGAAGAACTGTAAAGCCCCGCATAGTGCATACTTAACTCTCACTTACCACACCTGGGGTCAGACTGTGTGTGTGCGTGGCCGTGTGTGCGTGTGTGCGTGGCCGTGTGTGTGCGTGTGTGTGTGTGTGTGTGTGTGTGTGTGTGTGTGTGTGTGTGTGTGTGTGTGCAGGCCGGTGGAGCTTCTGCGGCTCTCCAGGATTCTTCCCAGTGAAAGTCTGTTTTTACCAGACACCAGAGTATTTTCCCTCAATAAATGAGTAGTTTCTCGTGAACATGTGATCTTGTGTGCAGGTTCAGTCAGTGACCAGCAGCACAGCTCCACTCAGAGTGTGAGTGATAAACATCCTGATCATCATAATTATTCACAGTGATGAGTTTATAAGACCTCTGAGGCCAGAGTGGAGTTTTGCAGTCACTGTAATGCTAACAGCTGATTATCAGACAATGAAACATTTTAGAATTGTAAAAGCAGCTCTTGTCCATGCTGTCTTCATCTGTACTGTCACAGACTTTGCTTTAAAAGGGCCATTTTTCCCCCAACTGGACAAAACTAAATGCAATATTGACACATTTTTACTTTTATTCAAAGCATTTTATACTCAGTGTCTGATTCTTTCATACTTGTATCAAATGGTCAAATGGTTTGATTTAGAAAGTGTTTTTATAGTTTAACTAATCTTTTTGAACTTAATCCAAAACACAAGTGTGTGAAATCCAAATGTGTTAGTGCACGATAGTCTGACCTGTTGTAAATGAACTGTATTAGTAAATGTTTCTTATTGTACTGGTTGCTAGGTTACCCGCGGGTGCGCTTCCTGTGTGGGGTGACGGAGGTGATGAAGCCGGAGCGCTGGGTGTTTAAATCTGGAGGAGGGGTCCACCTGAGCCGCCAGCAGCTCCCTCTCAAACTGGCCTGGGCCATCTCCATCCACAAGAGCCAGGTGTGTGTCTCCTCCTACTCTCCCAGACACTTTCAAACTATTCAGTGTCAAAGTTTATTTACCAACGTGGACTGTGGTGTCACCATACCAACATGTCAACACTAAATAATAGTCTATACTAATACTCAGTACTGATTCCTTTAACACGGCGATAATAAAAACTCTTCTTTAGACAACAGAATGTGATTTACAACATGTCACATATAAATAATAGTACTTACTTTTATTTTACCATGTGGTTTATATGTGGAATCACTTCAGTAGGTTCCATAGTGGTCCATGGTGTGTACTAGTCCATGTGCTCTGATACTTGTTCTGATTCAGCTCAACAACAGTCTAAAACTGTTCAGGAAAGGTCCATTTCAGGCCTGTGTGACTGTTTTTAGTATATTATTTACCAGTTACTAAAATACTAAAATGTTACTAAAATACTAAATACTACAGTTCCTACAGTTAACTAAATACTAAATAATACTAAATAAATAAATAATAATAAAAAATAGTAGTAGTAATAGTAATAGTAATAATACAAAATAATAAATACTAAATACTACAGTTACTAAAATACTAAAATTGGGAAATGTATTTATGCAGATATTATTCTGGTGTGTAAAACCCTCCATGATCTTGCTCCACCCCCATTTAAAAGAGTTCATACAGTTGAATTTCAATACAAACACCTGAGCATGGAGCAGAGGATAACATCAAATCCCATCCACAAAGACTTGATTTGGACAGTCAGCCTTTTCAGTTCAAGCCACACACTCTTCAATCTGATCCCCACAGAAATAATGTACACGACCTCCATCCAGAGCTTTAGTAGAAATGTGAAACATTGGCTTCTGCACAATCACACATGTGAACAGAACTAATGTAACATCACATAACGAATGTCTGTCTTGCTGTGTGACTGTGATTTGTGTCTTGTCTCTAATGTGTGTGCTTTTAGCATGGTCTGGTTTTACTAATATGACTGCAGTAATATTCCCTCATTTTAATGTCTTTCATGTGTGAATGGTTTTGTCTCTATGTCCTGTTTTTTGTTTTGCCATCAACATGCTAATGGGACTACAGATGAACATGAGTGTGCACGTTAAACTCACACCTCACATTTACAGCTGCACTAACACATGTTGATCAATGTGCACTGACCAATATTCACTATTAAAATGATGAATTATATAAAATAATAAATAAACATACTTGTTCAAATGAGTATCTAGTTTCGATAATAGTTTTAGTATCTGATTTTTGATATCTTTGACAACTCTAATACAATCAGTAATGAACAACCAGTCAACTGTTTGTCCAATTTATCATGTTTTTTTTTTTTTTTTTTCCCTATATTCCATGTGTGTTCATAGAAATAGTCCTTAAAGACTGTCAAAAAAATGAAAATAGAAATAACAAGTCATAAGTTATTCATCACACTATACATCTCAAATAAGAAAAATGGGCAACAGTAGTTCAGTTGGTAGTTTATAATCTACTGATCCAAAGGTTGGTGCTTTGAATCCCGCTTTCGACATAATCATTAGTTAAGCGGTCAGATCCAGTCACCCACAGGTTGGCGGTACGATTCCAGGTCCCACAACAGATCTATTAATAAGATATTCAACACATCTCACTCCTCTCTCCATGTGTATTCATTGGCATTCTAAAACTTTAAATTACAAAAGGAGAGCAGCATCAGAGAGGCTCTAAAAGTCCGACCACATGCCCCGACTTCAACCTAAAAGGAAAAAAACTTCATAACTTCATTATCCCAGCTCCCTCCGTAAGCATCTCATCGGTCACATGTCTGTATACCCCTGACTTTATTTTGCCTTTCCAGACAGAGCTCAGACAAATGGACCAAAGTACACACAGGGGACACTTTAATAAAAACTGTTGCCATGGGAGACGGGTCGTAAGGAGCTCTTTGTATTACCTCCATGACGTTTGCAAAATCAATGTATAATTTGATGGTGGACGTTGGACTTTTCCTTGATATATTTTATTGATGGACTGTCCACTCTGCTCTGGGTTTGTAATATTGTAGCTTTCCATTACGTCCCAGGGAAATGCAAGATCAGGTTTTGAACGCTACAAAAGTTTTATTGTAGGTTTATTAAATGGAGACATTATGCAAAACAGATTTGAGCTTTTAAGCATGTGCTAATGATTTCCCCGTCTCATGTAGAGTGATTCAAGCTCTTTTGTGTCCTCTTTCTCTCTCTCCTGTATTCAAGACACCATTGCTTTTCAAATTTGACATCCGTTTTCCAACACCTGGTAGTCTGGTACTTTTCCAGCCAGCAATTTTGCTCTATTGTGGGGGCAATAGGGTTGTAAAAAATCTATACTTTTGTCTAGTTCTGAGTATTGAAATTCAGATAATCAATACTTAATCTAGTATCTTCTAATCTAGTAGTAATCTTCCTGAAGAGCTAGAGGAGGGGTCTCCAACCTGTAGCCCTGGAGCTACCAGTAACTCTCCACCCCCTTTCCAAGTAGCTCCCCAAGGGATTTCTGAATTATACATCCTGAGCTGAATAACTAAAATTGTATTAATTGCCATTGTAAATGAATAATTTTGATGGCTAACTCTGTATACTAATGAATGGATAATGGTTTGTGTGGTCTGTTCTCCATCTGAGGCTCGCCGTGGGGCATATGGGTCCGATCAAGTGGTAACGGAGGGAAACAGGGGCAGATTTTTGACATTCAAATGTCTCTTATTCAGAAACTAGAGGGACTATTGAAATAAGTAAAGTATCAGAATGTAGGAAAGAGTTACACTCCAACAGGGTCAAGTTAAACCTGTGATATTCTTTCAAGTTGTTGACAAAAAATTTTAAAACTCATGTCAGTAACGGAGGGAATGAAATATGCAGCACTTTTTGGGCAATAAATCCAAACAGTGATAACTCTTGGTTCTCACTTCCATATCCTTAACAAACTGGTTTGAATATTTGCTTCATATAGTTTTCTACCATATGGTACAAGATTAGGTTGAAAAACCTCTTACTTTTTGACTCATGAGATTTTTTATTAAGAAAGGTCATGGTAACGGAGGGAAAAGTAACAGAGGAAAAATTGTGCAAACAAGTAGAAGGTGCAGGATTTTACATCATTTGTCACTTTTTTCTTCTGAATACTTTAATATTACTTCAAAATGAAAGGAAACTATTTCTATAAAATATGTCAGTCCTTCCAAGCAAATTTTTTATCATTTTAAATACATTTTTTTTGAAAAATCATGTACCTTCATCAACAGTTCAAAGATGGAATAACACAAGATATGATGAAATACATCCATTTATTGACATGATTTGCAGATCTTTGAAGTTTGGGAAATAATTTTTGTTCCATGTTTCATACATGGTCTGTTTAAAACATATGGAACTTTAGAACCAAAAATGGTACAGAAAAAAGGTCAACAGTTTCATAAACTAGAGTACATATGTATCTGTTCAATACATTTTTATATCAGATGCATTAACTTGAATTTTTGGCCTTGATGTTTACTTCTGCTTGACCGGGCCCATATATGTACCACATTTCTTGTGAACACTAAAACAACTACCTCTCTGGTATTTTTTGTCTGGTAAAAGTAGCTCACCAGAGGAAAAAGGTTGGAGACCCCTGCTTTTAGAATGATGTTGAGTTGTATCAGAACAAGTATAAGAGCACATAGACTAGTACACACACATGGACCAACATGAACCTACTGCACCACTGACCATTACACACATAGAAGACACATGGGAAAAGAAAAGAAAGCAGTACACTTTAACACTGAAAATATAATCTAAACCAGTGATTCTTAATCGTAGAGCCGAGACCACTTCCTTGGGGGACCCACAATCAGTACAATATAATGCATTTAATATGAGATGGGGCCCCTGGGTACTTTGTTCAGAAAAAGTAGGGCCCCAAGATTGAAAAGGTTAAGAACCCCTGGTCTAAACAGTGTTTATTATCATCGTGGTATCTGAATCAGTATTGAGTATCATGTTTATTCCTTACTTTGGAGATCAAATTTGACATTTTAGAAACCTTTTGACTTGAAACCTTTCCTGAACAGTTTTTAGATGTTCTGGCTCTGATGTAGAGCAAGACAAAGACAACATGGAAGTGAATATGACTGACTATTTAGACTTTTTTTTTTTTTTTTCATTGTGGTCTGTTATCACAGTTTGAGTATAAAGCCTTTTCTTTAGTTTTTTAAAAATATTTTTTTTTATGGTAACACGAGGGGGCAGTTGGTCTTGAATATCTAAAACTTTTTTTTTTTTTTTTTTCTTTTTTTGTAGTACTTGTGTTCAATAATAAATTTTTTCACCAAATGCATTTAATAAGTGAGAGATTTACTTAAATGTGCAAAACAGAACAGATTTCTAGTTTTATAAATCCTGCAAACAGGCTCTGGTTGACTTTCTTCAACTCTGCAACAATTATCCACAATCTCTGAAACTCAACTAGTTCTTTTACAGACACTGTACCTGTATATTTTTAAAAAACAGAACTAGTTAATTTCAAACAGTTGCAGTGGTCCAAACAGTGTAGCCGCGGGGTCTTAAAAAAGGTCTTAAATTTCATGTTCCTAAATTAAGGCCCTAAAAAGTCTTAAATGATGTTGTCCAAGTCTTTTTTTTTTTTTTTACAAAGGTCTTAAATTTCATAAGTCTTTTTTTTTTTTTTTTTTTTTTTTTTTTTTTTTTGTAAACTCAACCGGGCTGCAGTGCAATGTTCAATGGAGGGAGGAAAAAAAACCAACATGAAATCACATAACATGAATGAACGTCTAATTTGGAGTGGAGTGGAGGAAGACGTTGGATGGATCATGGGGAAGTGTAGGTTTAATCCACAGTGACTTTTAGATTCTAGATCTAGTACCTGTAGTTGGTTGGTCATTATTAAAATTGGATCTGGTGTTTTTCACTCACATAATGGGTGTGATGTTGGTCTTAATTTTCATTTAAATGGTCTTGAGAAGGTCTTAAAGTCTTAAATTT